GCTGCTTATTACAATTTTGTAAACATAATATTAGCTTAAATGTAGCGATATACTTTTTTTTTATTTTAAAAGCTAATTTCTTTGCAATAATATTTCTAAATAAAATTTAATGTTAATACAAATTTTCAAAATAAGTATGAAAAGATAAGCTGAAATGAATATAATTGATAAAAGTTATTGGATACAATTGTGTAATTCAAATATTTTTCGCTTTTATAATAATAAAATAATAATAAAAGTTTTTGAATTAGAAAAAAAATCCTTAACTTTTATCATTTTGATTAGCCAAACTACACCATTAATGGAAATGATTATCAATAATTGATAACATTATTAAAACAACCAAATAACTCATAATCATATCATTAAGTACTAATTATTATTACTGCAATGGTTATCAATAATTGATAACAATATTAATACAATCAAATAACTCATAATCATATCATTAAATAGTAATAATTATTATTACTGAAATGATTATCAACGATTGATAACAATATAAGTAAAATTAAATAACTCATATGCATATTAGTATCACTAAGCAATATTAGTAAAATCAATAATAATAAATATTATTATTGTAATGAATATCAATAATTGATAACAATATTAATATAATCAAATAACTCACAATCATACCATTAAATAATAATAATTATTACTGCTGCAATGATTATCAATAACTGATAACAATATTAATACAATCAAATAACTCATAATCATATCATTAAATAGTAATAATTATTACTCTGCAATGATTATCAATAACTGATAACAGTATTAATACAATCCATTAATAATTAGCATATCATTAAGTAATAAATAATTATTATTACTTTATAATTAATCAATATGTGCAGGATCCAATAAATTCCATATTTTAGTAGCTTCTTGTAATACAGTAGCTAAAATATAATGTCTCATTTCTTCCTCTCTTGTTTCATATACTTTCAAAGTTATACTCATATTACTTTGCAAATCAAGTAATTCATATAAGTAATTCTTTGCTGCATTACTACCATTTACTTGATCTAATCGATCTCTGAGAACTTGATCACGTTGCTTGATATATCGTTCTTCATGCAAACGATATTCACGATATTTTTCTGTAATTATTTTTAAATTTTTTAAAATTGTAAAAATAAATTTATATTTTCCATAAATATTTTCAATTATAAATTTAATTTAAAACAAATAATTTTAATTATTCTAATATATGTCTGATATGATCAAACAATTCCAAATTTTCAAATTTTATCATTTTGTAACAATTGTTACAGTAGCACTTAAGCATTACTGCTGTAATATCCACAGATACAGTAATTGGATATCAAGCGTTGCAATAGCACTTACACACTACTGTACACTACAGTAATACCTACACATGCAGTATTGGGTTATAAAGCGCTATAGTATCACTTACGCAATGCTGTACATTGCAGTAATACCTATAGATACAGTAATTAGTCAACAGGCGCTACAGTACTATTTGTACAGTGCAAATGCTACAGTAATGCTGCAACTGCAGTAATTGAGTATCAAGCGTTAAAGTAACACTTACACGATTCTGAGCGTTACAGTAATACTTGCAGATACAGTATTTGGCTAACAAACGTTACAGTGACAGTTATTCAATACTGTACATTACAGTAAAACCTTAAAATACAGCAATTTGACATCAAACATTACAGTAAAACTTGCAAAAGATTATGTAAAACTAATTAGTAATTAATTACCTTAATAGTAGCTCCTTGTTTTTGTGCCCAATCTTGACATAAATCATAGAATTCAGTTCTTGTAAGAAATGGTTTTTGCTCATATAACGCTTCATATTCCATTCTTTTCTCTGTGGGCATTTTTTTATAAAATCCGGAAGACAATTAGTATTCAGGAAAATATCATTTCCGAATAACGAGAAGATAATATTTCCAATATTTCCCTTTCATTAAGCTATAAATTTAAATTTTTTGTTAAGCAAATTTACAAATAACAAAAATATTTTGATTAAATTAGAATTATTTATTTAATTTATTATAAGAATTACAAATACTATTTATTTAATTTACTTCAAAATATAGAAATTAAAACATTAAATTTGCAAAAAAATCTCTAAAAAAGCAAAAAAATTCCACTGAACATTTTTAAGCTAAATAATACTTTCATTTATTATATAAAATTTTAAACATTACTGTTTTATTATATATTCGGAATAAATTCACATTAATTTTTATGTTTTATACTAAATTTTATATTTGTTATTTAACGTGTTTGAAAGTACTTATTTAATAAATTTAAAAGTGTTAAGGATTTTTTATTTACAAATTTTTCATACTAATACTAAACTTTATAATACTTCTCTATAAAATATAAATCATTTCCTATGCTGAATTTCTGATCAATAACATACCAAAACTGATGAAATTATACGGAAATAAAGAATATAACAAGAAATTGAAGTATTAAATTTAAAAAAATCCTTTAAAAAAGAAAAATTTCACTAAGCATTTTTCAAGCTAAAATAACATTTTCATTTATTATAAATTAGCAATACAATAAATTAAAATCCAATTTTGATTTAAATAAAGAGAAAAATAAGAAATAAAAAAAAAAAGGATATCGTACTTTTATTGTTATTGAAATGTTATTCTCACTTTTGTGTTATTTCGTCTTTTTTTTAAATAAAAATAAACAACAAAGAACGATGATTTACTTTAGCATATTATTACATACATTGATACATTCATTTTTAAATTTTTTCAAGAAAAGAAAAAAGAAAATATGCTTCCAAATATTTTCAAAAAATTTTTTTTTTTTTTTATTATTAGCTTTCTAACTTTATAAATACTTGAAGAATGAAAAAAAAGTTAAAATATAATTATAGTATTAATTTTAGCCATACAAGATTGTCAGAATGTTTATTTTTCATCTTTAATCTCTTTCTTTTAAAATTTTGTTTTTCTAAAAGATTTCACAAATTTTGAAAAACTTTTAAAATCTGAAAAGTTTTATAATTAATTTTAAATGATTACTATTTCGTATGTCTAATGATTCAATTTTCAATCATTTATGTGAAACTATTTAAATCATTGTTTAATCATATTCGCATCTGATTATTTCATTTTATTAATTTGCAACAAAGGAAAACTTAAAAATAAATTTTTACATATCAAATTTTTGTATTTTTTTGGATCAAAATATACAATCATAAAATCTGTGTGTGCATTTTATAATTCTTTTTAAAATCAAATTTTATCAAGTTATCAAAAATTATTTTAGATAATTGAATTTCTTGTATTTCATGGATTAATATATCAAATTGATGATTTGATAATTTGAAAAGAATTGATAAAGTATAAGCAATGAATTCAGGTAAAACATATTATCATTTAATGCTTATCCAACTGTTATCATTTTTAGAGGAATTTTATCAGTAATATTTATAGGTAAAGTAAAGTTAATTTTTACTATAAGATTGCTGTTTTTCTTTGTTGTTATTGAGAATTTTAAATGTTTCAAGTTTAATTTAATAATTAGTTAACTACATGTCATTTAAATGAAATTAATCAATTTGAAATTGAAAAATCTAATTGATAAAATCATTACAGTAATGCGATTTTCCGTTCATTATCAATCAAAATAATTGTAAAATATTTTTTTGTCTAATTAATTTTTATTTAATTTTTAAACAATAATGCATAAATATTTAATTAGCAAAAAGTTAGCTTAAAGTATGACTTCCAAAAAAAAAATTAAAAAGTTAATGTTCAGTTTTAGAAAAATAAATTCATTCATTTATATCATTACTTTATTAAATTAAAATTTTACAGAAAAATCATTTTCAACTTCTTTTATTTTAACTAAAACCATTTTTTTAGTAAATTAAATTTATTCAATTTTAAAATATTTTATTCATTTTCATTGCTATTTGGATTGTATGTATGAATTTGAAGACCTATAATAAAAAAAAAGAAAATCATTTTTATCAATTTATCTGATAATAATTGAAATGAAATGTAATCAAAGTGATTGACAAGTGGTTGAGTTCAGTAGAGTTTATCATTTTTATCAATTTATCTGATAATAAATTGAAATCAAATGATTGACAAGTGGTTGAGTTCAGTAGAATTTATCATTTTATCAATTTATCTGATAATAAATTGAAATCAAAATGATTGACAAGTGGTTGAGTTCAGTGATTTATCATTTTATCAATTTATCTGATAACAAATTGAAATGAAATGTAATCAAAATGATTGACAAGTGGTTGAGTTTAGTAGAGTTTATCATTTTTATCAATTTATCTGATAAAAAGTCAAAAATGATTGACAAGTGGTTGAGTTCAGTAGAATTTATCATTTTTATCAATTTATCTGATAATAAATTGAAAAATGATTGACAAGTGGTTGAGTTCAGTAAATTTATCATTTTATCAATTTATCTGATAATAAATGAAATCAAAATGTTGACAAGTGGTTGAGTTCAGTAGAATTTATCATTTTTATCAATTTATCTGATAATAAATCAAAATGATTGACAAGTGGTTGAGTTCAGTGGAGTTTATCATTTTTATCAATTTATCTGATAATAAATTGAAATGAAATGTAATCAAAATGATTGACAAGTGGTTGAGTTTAGTAGAGTTTATCATTTTTATCAATTTATCTGATAATAAATTGAAATCAAAATGATTGACAAGTGGTTGAGTTCAGTAGAGTTTATCATTTTTATCAATTTATCTGATAACAAATTGAAATGAAATGTATGAAATGATTGACAAGTGGTTGAGTTTAGTAGAGTTTATCATTTTTATCAATTTATCTGATAATAAATTGAAGTCAAAATGATTGACAAGTGGTTGAGTTCAATTGAATTTATCATTTTTAAATTAATCACACAATGAATGTAATTATCAATTTTAAAAATAAAAGCTCAAATTGAAAGTTTAGTAGCAGTACAATCAATGATAACACAAAAGGGTGAATTGTTAAACGATTAACTTAATAACCAGGTGCTGTCCTTGGAGGTGGACAAGCATCACAGGTACCTTGTGGTCCAGCTTCACCATCTGGTCCCCTATCACCATCAGATCCAGGTTTTCCGGGTGGTCCATCTATGCCTGCATCTCCTGGTGGTCCTTCTGGTCCATCTGATCCAGTTTTACCAGCTGCTCCTGCTTCGCCGCTAGGTCCTGGTAAACCTGGTTCTCCTGCTTTTCCTGGTGCACCTACTGGTCCTTCTTTTTCAATGACAGTACCTGGTGGTCCAGCAGGACCTTTCTCACCCGATGCTCCAGGAGGTCCTACTGGTCCTTCTGGTCCTGGTTCACCAGCTGGACCACTGCTACCAACAGGTCCATCTGGACCTGGTGAACCCTGCTTGCCTGGAACTCCTTTCGGTCCCTGTATACCAGGTGGTCCTGCCGGTGCATCAGGACACTCAAAGCACCAATCGATTTTCGGCGGTGTAGGTGGTTCCTGTGGTGCATCCTGGCCATCTTTACCAGGTGGTCCACTTTCACCATCAGCACCATCATTACCATCCTCACCCGGTGGACCGGCTGGACCCGGCGGCACCACATCCACAACATTCACCTGTTGGTGATGCCGGGGCACCAAACACAACACTTGATTGATCATTTCCTATCTGTCGCACCTGTCGAATTCCACTTTCGACTTTTGCATATATCTAAAAATAGAATTAACCAAAATATTGAGCAACGATTTTTCGTGATTTTTTTTAGATGAAACAACATTCCTCCTTGTTTTTCATTTATTTTTCTTTTTAGTTTTAAATTTTAATTATTTAAATAATTTAATACTACCATATTAATACACATAACAGTTATTAAAATATTGTTTTTAATTTAGACAAATATTAATTAAAATTGAAATAACAAATAATAAAAATTTTAAAATAATTCAACAATACTTTTTTTTAATATTATTACAAATAACAGTTATTAAAATATTGTCTTTAATTTAGACTAATATTAATTGAAATTAAAATAACAAATAACAATTTTTAAAATAATTCAACAATACCTTTCTTTTTTTTCAAAAAATTTATTCAATCTTCAAATTAAATAAATATTTTATTTAAAACTTTCTTTTTTTCTTCAAGCAAAAAAAAAAAAAAAACCAATTTAAATTTTCCAAAATTTAATTAACAAACCTGTATAATGCATAGCAAATATTAATATTATTACAAATAACAGTTATTAAAATATTATTATTAATTTAGACTAACAATGATTAATTAAAATTTAAATAGTAATAACAATTAAAATTTTAAAATAATTCAACAATACTTTTTTTTAAAAAATTTATTCAATCTTCAAATTAAATAAATATTTTATTTAAAACTTTCTTTTTTCTTTAAACAAACAAAAAAAACCAATTTAAATTTTCCAAAATTTAATTAACAAACCTGTATAATGCATAGCAAATTTTAATATTATTACAAATAACAGTTATTAAAATATTATTATTAATTTAGACTAACAATGATTAATTAAAATTAAAATAGTAATAACAATTAAAATTTTAAAATAATTCAACAATACTTTTTTTCAAATTTATTTAATCTTCAAATTATAAATATTAAAACTTTCTTTTTTTCTTTAAGCAAAAAAAAAAAACCAAATTTAAATTTTCCAAAATTTAATTAACAAACTGTGTTCGCGTTTACTTCTCGCCATATATTCTGCATCTTATGCTGATTAATTACTGAATGCATGTGCTGCATGTAATTATGCATAATGGTACTGACACAAACTAATGTTGCAATTGTTGACATTGCATGAATATGCTATAATTTTAATTCTTGCATTCTTGCTCCCTGTATTGCATTTTTTTTTTTTGATCTCTGTAAAAAAAAAAATTAAAAATAATTTTAAATAATAAATAAATTAATATTAGATTATACTAATAAAATTATATAAATAAATAAATAAATAAAATTATTTAATATCTTTTAGCGCGTTTCTATGTTTTTCCTTTTTTGCTTTTAAATAAAATTTAAATTTAATGTTTAATATACTAATATTCATTTAATAAAAAAAAAATTTTTTTAATTAGTAAAAAGAAAATTAATCTTTTAAATAAAAAATAAATTAAAATTAAATAATAAATAAATTAATACTAATTAAAATTATTATATAAATAAATAAATAAAATTATTTAATATCATTTTTGTGCGTTTCCATGTTTTTCTTTTTTTGCGCTTTTTAAAATTTAAATTTAATGTTTAATTATAGTAATATTCATTTCATTACAGTAAAAAAATTTTTTTATAGTAAAAAAATTTATTTTATCTCTGTAAAAAAAATAAATTAAAAATAATTTTTAAATAATAAATAAATTAATATTAAATTACACAATTAAAATTATATAAATAAATAAAATTATTTAATATCATTTTCTGCGCATTTCTATTTTTTCCTTTTTCTTTTTTGTAAATAAAATTTAAATTTAATGTTTAATTATAGTAATATTCATTTCATTACAGTAAAAAAATTTTTTAATGTAAGAAAAAAATAATAAATCAATATTAAATTATACATCATTTCCTTTTCTTTTTATACTTAAAACTTAAATTTATTTTTAATTATAATTATTTATTATCTTTATACTGTAGTATGTTTATTTTAAAATTAAAAATTTGATTACAATTTTTAATTTCATCCATTTTCACTATTTCAAAAAAAATTGAGTATTTCGCGTGTCAAAGGTCAAAAAGTTTGCTAAATGCTAGAATGGAACTATTTATTTCAATAAATTAAAAACAATATTTCTTTTCTTTTTTTGAAATTAATTTCTATGAAATAATTTGTTATCACTGAAAAATTAATTTATCTTTCTTTTTCTCTTTTTTATTATTATTTTTTATTATTTTTATTATATTTTTATTACAAATAATAAAATTATATTTTTACCATTTTTTCTCTTTTTTCTATTATAAACTATGTTACAATAAAAAAAACAAAATAGAATGATCTTAAATTATTTATTTTAAATATAATTATGATTAATTTTAATTAACAATTAAATGAAATACAGAAATGTTTCATTAGTGAATGAAAGAAAGAAATTGATTAGAATTTTTTTTTTTGAAAGTTTCAATAAATGTAGTAAATATTGCAAAAATTAAAAAAAAATGATACTAAATGTTTAATTTAGGAATAAAATTTAAAATAATAATGCGAAAAAATTTTAATTCATAAATAAATGTAATAATTCTAAATTTTTTTAACATTTCCAAAGATAAAATTATTCTCATCAATTTGCAAATTAAAATTGATAAGAATTCTTTGAGTGAAAAACTTTTTGCAAATGTAAAAATGAATTTAAAAAATAGATGAAGAAAAAAAAACACAGAATAAGTTATCAAAGAAATTGAAATTAAAATATCAAATATAAGAAAATAAAATATAAAAAATTTAAATAAATATAAAAAAATATAAGAAAAAAAACTAAATATAAAATATTTATGTGTCATTTTTGAATTAAATGAAAAAAATTTCACTCAAAATTTAACTTTTTCAAAATTTGATTGATAAAATTTTAAAATGAAAATTATTTTGAAATCGTCCACTCTTTTTGCAGAAATAATTTCAATTAAAACAGAGTAAAAATTTGAAAAAAAAACAAAAGTAAATCAAATCAAATCAAAAAAAAGAACATTTCAATTTAATCATTTCTTATCAGTGATTTCAGTAATTTCAATTAAAACGAGTAAATTTGAAAAAAGTAAATCAAAATCAATTTAAAAAATTTGAAAAAAAAAGTTCAAAAAAAAAAACAAATCAAATCAAAAAAAAAAGAACATTTCTTTTTAATCATTTCTTATCAGTGATTATCAATGATTTCATAAATGATTAAATAAAATGGAAAAAATAATTGTTTGATAAATGATTTAAAATAAATAGACAAACAGTTCTCTGATAAATTCTCTGATAAATGATTTGGATAAAATAATAACAATCAGAAAAGTGAAAAAGAATTGTCGTAATTTGTTCATTTTTATTTTCAATTTATAAATGTGAGAACAAAGAAAAAAAAAAATTTGTTTGAAAATGAAAACAACAAAAATAATATCACAAAATCAAATTGATATAAATTTTTTTTTTTTTTTGTATTTTCTCAAACGATTTAATAGAGCTCTCGATTAAGTGCGACAGAATCTCGAGAATAATAATTAATCATTCATCCTAATTCAAACATTTTGTTCATTATTTATTCCCGAGAAAAAGTGACGTTATTAAAAATTGACCTCGTCATTTGCGCTCTATTGCGCATTTCCAAAAATTTAAAAAAATTAAAAATTAAAAAATTAAAAAAAAAACAGTTAAATTTTTTTTCATATTCTGTCCTAATTTTTGTTCATATAACAAGAAAAATTTAATAAAACTTGTTTCAAATGAATGATAAAAAAATACCAATAAAATTCTAAGAGAATCTCTCTCTCTCTTTCTCTTTCCCTCTCTCTCTCTCTTTTATTTTATTTTATTAGATTTCATTTACGGCAAAATTTTTGAAATAATTTTAAATTAGTAATGAAAAAGTTTAAATAACATTTATTTTATTAATCATTTATGTTTTAATTTTATTACAAAATTTTAATTGCTCAAATGTTTTGTTTATAATTTCAAACAAAATATTTCATTTTGCGCTTTATTTATTTACTTATTTGATAATTAAGAAAATGCTAAATAATTAATTATAAAATATATTATAATTAAAAAAAATTATATTTCTTTTGTTCTATCTAATTTGAATAATTAAATTTGCAAAATAGAATAAAATATTCTTTTGTTCTATTTGAAATTAATTTCTGATTTTTTAAATCTTATTTCTTTCACTTTTTCAGTTCTTAAATTAATCTTTAAATTTTTAATTTCAATTGCAATCTTTTTTAAAAAAAAAATGATTAAAATGCAAAAAATAAATTTATATAAATAAATAAAAATTAATTTATTTTTCTCAAACTGGCCAAGAAAACTTGGCTTATATTATTATTTGTGGATAAAAAGAGAGATTAGTCTTATTTACCAAATAAAAATTCAAATTTGAAAAATTTTACAAAATATAATTTTTGATAAGAAATTTTTAACAGCAAAATATTTTCTACCTTTTTTAAAGTTAATTTTCTTATCAAATCGATAATAATTGTTTAAGAAAAAAAAAAAAAAAAAACCACAAAACAAAATTTTTTTTTTTGTGATATTTTTTATAATTTAATTTAATTAATCCGAAAAATTATTTAATAACAAACAAATATTTATAATAAATAATTTGAAAATTATTATATAACAAAATAATATATAATTATTATATAAAAATAAAAATATATTAAAAAACGATAAATATTTTTTTAATTAAAATGCATATTTAACAAATAATATTTTGAAAATAAAAAAGTTTTTTTTTGACAATAAAAAACAATCATTGAAATGTAAACATAAACATAAACAATAAACAACAACAATTCATTTCTATGAACAATGAAAAAAGAAAAAAGACGAATGAAATTTTATGACCGATTAAAATATAAATGAGAGAAATTAATGAAATGAAAAAAACTTGTTTTCAATTTCTCAATTACAAATACCACAGCAATTAATAAACATTTTATTTAC